TGATTCTTGTAATAATAATAATAATAATAATAATAATAATAATAATAATAATAATAATAATAATAATAATAATAATAATAATAATAATAATAATAATAAAGGAACTTTTTTCAAGCCGTGCTATGGAACAAAATCCCCTCTTCCACATACACACAGAGAGCTGCTTTAAATTGCATTTGGAAACTGATGCATTAAATAGTGTGATGCAAAACTCGATGGCTGGATAGCTCATCGGTTTAGGTCTCTGGCTGTGGAGCCAAAAGTTGGGAGTTTGATTTCCCCCACGGTGCAATGCAGAAGAGCCAGCCTGGGTGGCTTTGGGCCAGCTGCAAAGCCCCAGGACATCCCCGAAAGAATAATCACTTCTGAATATTCTCTACTGGGAAAACCCTGGAAAAGGGTAGCCATAGATCCGAACTGACTTGATGGGCACATGATTGTTATTATCATCTGTACAATAAATAAAGTATCTCAGAGGAGCCAGCCTGGGTGGCCTTGGGCAAGTTGCAAAGCCCCAGGTTTTCACCTGAAGAAGGAACAAAAAAAAAAGAATGGTAAACCACTTCTGAATATTGGCTACCTAGAAAACTCTGAAAAGGATTGCCAAAAGTCAGAACAGGCTTGATGGGACCTTATTATTAGATGGCTGGCTAGCCCAGTGGCTTAGGCGTTTGGCTGCAGAGTTCGATTCCTCCACTGGGAGTTCAATTCCTCCACGGGGCCTCCTACGAGTACAGCCAGCCTGGGTGGCTTTGGGTTAGCTGCAGCATAGACCCAGGGCAACGTCCCAGAAGAAGGGAAGGGGAAAACCACTTCCGAGGACTCTTGTACCTAGAAAATCCTGGGGAAAATTTGGCATAAGTTGGGATGCGCTTGAGGGCATGCATTGATTCTTAGCAGAGCCCAAAGTTTGACAGTTGAGACGTCACTCTTTCAATTCTTTTATTCTATTTTATTTTTGGGGACGGGGAGGCTGAGAGTCAGAGCACCTTTTAAATTATTTACTGACTGCATGATATCCTTCTTTTCTTTCCTTGAACTCCGGGCGGCCTGGGTGGGTCCACCTGGCTCTCTCATTTTATCCTCACAGCAAACAGCCCTGTGAGGTAGGCCAAGCGAACGGAGAATCAAGGACCAAAGGTCACCCCGTGAGCAGCTAAAGAGGAGTGTTCCTCTGTGCATAGCCGGAGTGCCTCCCTCACCTTTGCAATGGAATTAATAATCACTAAGAGACCGAACCGTCGAGTTTTGGGAAGAGCAGGTTTTCCTAGCAGGTTTGAACCCTCAGAGATAAATTAAGAACAGAGGTTAAGAGCAAAGACTTTCTGGCACATAATTTTTTTTTAAAGCAGTGTCCCCATGATTACGTATCAGCATGAAAAGCCTTCTTTGAAACATTTTTAAAAAGTAGACTTTTAAAACATACGATGGGGATGTAAAACTAACAAAAAGAAAACGGGATAAATAAAACAGATCCGTGTATTCCTTAATTGTTGTTTTATTCACTATAATGTATTTAATAAGTACATTCAATATAAACTCTCAGGATATCCAGTGTGGTGCTGCAGGCAAAGAAAAAAAAAAACTTGGGTTTCAGGAGGCCTGGATTCGAATCCTCACTCAGCCATGAAAACTCACTTGGGATGTGTTTGGAACCGGCAAAACCACTCCTTAAATATCTCACTTATCTTAGGGTGGTCTTATAAGTCAGTTCCAACTCAAGGGCACAGAAAAAAACAACTTGTTTTGAGAAACTACGGATGTGACAGGTGAATTCAAAGAAGCTAATCGTTTTTTGAAATAGAATCCCTGGGTTTGTCCTGGGGAGTGACTGTATTTTTGTCTCTTTTCCCCCCCCTTTTCCCTGTTGCACTGTTAGTCTGATCTTGCCCCAGTGATGCCTACGTCAATTCCAAGGAGACATGTGCAAAAAAAAATCCCCAAAAACAAACAAACTCTCAGGTGGTCCTTTAATTTCTTGAATTTATTTTTCTGCTTTCCTTTCTATTAGAAGCTTGTCGGTAGACCGAAAAGCCTCGTTGTGAGATGATGCGGATGATGGACGGCAGCCTCTCCCAATGGCATCCTCTGAAGCTTTCGGCAGGCCTTGGGGGGGGGACAGCAAGCCAAGAGGCGGGCTTCCTCTGCTAATGTCAGTGCAAAACCTGGAGATCTGCTCTGCCCATCTCTCTCTGCAAAGGGAGCTGGCCGGTGGAAGGTGGCTGCGCTCCAGCCATGGGCCGAACGGGGTGGCCTGGGTGGCTGCAGTCCTTCCTCTGCTTTTGCCTTCCCCCTTTGGCTCAAGGTGAGTCTCTCGGGTTGCTTTTTTAAAGTCTGGGTTTCCATGCCTTCCAGCTGGCGCTTGGAAGTGCCAGCTGGCAACAGAGAAATGGTGGGCTCTCGGCCGGTCTCTTGTTCCCTGAGATGGGAGTCTCCAGGTCATCCAGCAGAAGAGGCTTTTTTTTAAAGTCTGGGTTTCCATGCCTTCCAGCTGGCGCTTGGAAGTGCCAGCTGGCAACAGAGAAATGGTGGTGGGAGTCTCCGGGTCATCCAGCAGAAGAGGCCGACAGGTGGAACCGAAAGGGAACCAACAGGTAAAGGCATTCCCAGCCCCCCAGGGATTTTCTTAGCTAAATTCTGAAATTAGACCCTGAGCGACGCAAGCTTTGGTGTCCGACAGAATTCTTCATCAGACGGGGTGGACTTCAGAAATCCTTTACCCCTCTTTTTTCTTTTTACCAGCCATCCTGCTGAAGAGTTTGGTAGAGTCCGAAAGCTTCCATAGGGTGATGGCATTTTTTAACTGTTTTACGCCTTCAGATGGATTCTGACTTAGGGCCACCTTTCGGGTGGGTGGGAGGCTTTCTAGAAACGGTTCACCAGCCCTGTCTTCGGATGGCACCCTCGGGTGGCGCAGCTTCTCCAACGCTGGTTCTTATCCCAGGCAACACAGGTCCTAATACAGATTTTGTTTGCCGTTGGATTTTGGATTTGGGTCCATCCGACGCTAATCCTCAAGTAATGGAATTGTGTATCTCATTTTTTTTCTCTCTCAGCCATTCCTTGTGTGTGTGTGTGTGTGTGCGTGTTGGGGATAGAGAAGGACCCTTTTCTCTGTCTCTGAGCCTTCTCCCGGGCTTGCATAACTGCTAAGCCTAACTTGGGGTTTTATTTATTAAAAATAGACCTGGCCGGGTTGGTTCTTGAGTCAGGAATGGCTAATGCTTTTTAATCACCCTGGGGGCGGTGTGATGGGGGGGGGGACGAGATGCAGCAGAGGGTGCTGTGATGAGTGTCACAGACGGGCTTGCAGGTAAGGGAAGGTAGAGGTAAAGAGCGGGTCAGAGAGACCAGCTGCCCCTGTGCCTTCAACAAAGGTGTTCAAAAGGTGGTTTGCAGATTTGTGCATGTCAGTAATAAAAGCAAAACAACAACAACAGGTCAGGCTGATTCCCCCCCCACACTCACACACACACACCTGGTCATTAGAACTGCAGAGCTAGAAGGGGGCCCTATGGATCACTGAGTTCGGCCCCTGTGGGGAATCGAACCCCCAACAGCTTAAACCACAGGGCTGTCCAGCAATTCATGCCAAATGCAGGCACAGCTCACCCCCCCCCAAAAAAAATTCTTGGTGTGGCTTCTAAAAAGGCTGAAACAATGGTCTCAGGGCTCAGCTCTGTGCAAAAGTAAAATTCTTGAAATAATCTTCCCACGTGGTCACACCGGCTTCTGCCAAAATTGCTCCATCCAGAAGGGCACGTGGGGGTTGCAACCCCAAGTCTGTGGATAATCCTGAGCTTTTTTACATCGGCTGTTCCTGCAGGCGTGGCAGCGGCCAGATGTTGGGATGGATCCTGGCCAATTGTTTCCAAACCCTCTTCCTTTGGTGCAATGATGAGCCAAAGAATGAATCTGGGAGCAATTGCAAACTGCCCTGAATGGTGCTTTGGCATGGATGGGGCCATCCATCCATCCATCCATCAGTCAGTCCTCGGATGAAGTGGGAGGGGGGGACAAGGTCAGGACATGCCTTGAATGATCACGATTTCATCAATATTTTCAATGTGCTCTTACCCTCTTCCTTTGGTGCAATGATGAGCCAAAGAATGAATCTGGGAGCAATTGCAAACTGCCCTGAATGGTGCTTTGGCATGGATGGGGCCATCCATCCATCCATCCATCAGTCAGTCCTCGGATGAAGTGGGAGGGGGGGACAAGGTCAGGACATGCCTTGAATGATCACGATTTCATCAATATTTTCAATGTGCTCTTTATGAGCACGATGAGCCAAAGAATGAATCTGGGAGCAATGGCAAACTGCCCAGAACGGTGCTTCGGCATGGATGGGGCCATCTGTCCGTCCATCCGTCAGTCCTCAGATGATGTTGGGAGGGGGACAAAGTCAGGGCATGCCTTGAATGATCCCAATTTCATCAATATTTTCAATGTGCTCTATATGAGCACGAAAAGATGAAGATCTCAAAAGCTTGCATGCTCTTCTCTTCTGGTAATGGGATCCAGCGTCAGGGGCTCAGCTCTGCTCAAGAGGCCAAATGAGGCGGTCAGCCTCGGGCAGTAGATTTTTGCGGGTCTGACTTTCGGGGCCTCGTTGGCAGGGAACATTTCTGGCACAAATGGCACTGGAATGAACCGGAGGTTGACGGTGCTTCCACGGAGAAATTTCTCCCATGGATCTGGCATGATTTCAGCCGGAGACCTGGATTTTGAATTTCTGCATGTCTAACGCATTTCTGCCACTTCCCCTCAATTCAAGCATCTCATGGCTATTTGTAGCACTGCACCTGGAGGAGGTGGGGGGGCCTTCCGGCTCGCCGGTTTCACCCCCACTCCCTCCCAAAGCCTTTCCCTGACAAATCCAGCCCCTACGACTGTCTGCTGAATCCGATATTTCCCATTCCTGTTTTCTTTGAAAGGCCGTTGGAACACCCCGCCACTAGAATTCTTTCTTTGCCTCCCTGATTCACAGGTTTACGCATCCAGGAATATCTCTATTTCCAAGTGCTGAGTCCCAGGGACATTCAATACATCTTTACTGCCACCCCGGCCAAGGATTTTGGGGGAGTGTTTGTAAGTATGAGAACCTGGAAAGCAGGAGCTAAATCTATTGCTCTGCTGAGCACTTCCTCTCTAGACTAAAGTTAAAAGTTCTTTTGAAGGGCCTCCTTCATTCTGAGAGGGGGAGTGAGGATTTTAGAAATCTGCAACAATGTCAGTCATGTCCAGGGGAGGAAATTACTTCACCTTGACTGTAGTTTTTGATGGGAAGGTGGGTGGCGGTTGATGGTTGGCAGCTGTCTGCAGCACCTGAAATATGAGTCACACGATCCACCTGGATGTACCAGATTGGGGGCTGGAGCTGGAACCAAATTTGCCTGGAGGGCCAGCTTGTGCGAAGAGAAGCAGAACAGAGCCCGGGATCTGAATGTCTCAAATGGAGGCAAGTTTGGCTTGACATTTCAGGATGGGGGTCCTAGCCAAGTATTGCTGCTCTTTTGCCCTGACCTTGGACTTTCCGGAGGGAACTGGCTAGCCACCGCATAGCCAGAAGGCTGCAAGGGGCGAGAGCTTGGAAACTTATAGGGCCTGTCGGCACGGTGAAATTTGGTGTTTAAAAGGCCCTTGTCTTCTAACCCTTGGCACCCATCTGGGAAGGCAGAATCATCCCAAATTCATCTTGATGAAGTCTGCATGCCATAGCCTTGTGCCAGACAGAGATGGGCCACCCCTTAAAGGGGGAAGGATGGGTGGTCGTTGTAAGTAGAAACGCTTTAAACGGGTGGGGTCTTTTTACCCCCCCATGCCAAAGAGTGCTGTCAGGGACCTACCCTGTTTTCTTGAAAATAAGCCCTAACCTGAAAATAAACCCTAGTGTGATTTTTCGGGATGCTCATAATATAAGCCCCAAAATAAGCCCCAGTTAAGTGAAACCCTGCCCTCCACCCTTGTGCATTGACCAGAAGAAGAGGACAGGACTATGTTTGAATAGATGTAGATGGTTGTACATGGGGGGAAAAAAACAAAATATCCCCTGAAAATAAGCCCTAATGTGGGGTGGGGTGTTGGTTGTTTATTTATTTTTTAATAGAAGACTTTGTCTTATTTTTGGGGAAACATGGTATACACCCTAACCATAAGCCAGTATGGCCCGGCTTCTAGCATCACCATTACCAGAATACTTGTTAGCCTTTTCAGCTTGGGATCCCTGGGGATCATAATCTGAAAAAGTACAAAATTCCCCTCATACACCAGGTTAGAAAGACCACTGGCCTGAACCCAGCACAGTCCTTTTTATGTCCTTATTTATACGTTGGCCTGCTTGTTTCTGGGCTAAGACAGAAATATCAGAATTCAACCGGGGCCTATTCGTATTCGTATCCCCGGGCACGTATCCCCAGCCCACTCACTACAGAACCAGCCAGCCCACTCACCATTCACCGTGTGACACTCAGCTCTGTGATTGTTGCCATCATCGTGCCCGTCGTGGAAGGCAGCTGGTTGGCTCTTCCCCGCCTCCGTGTGCAGCCGACCACTGATGAGTGGTCGGCCGCATGGGGAGGCAGGGAAGAGCTGGGTGCGAACAGTGAGTGGACTGGCTGGTTCTGTATCTGTATTCATATTCCCAGGGGTACGAATACAAATAGCCCAGTTCTAACCGGAACCTTTTTATGGGCACGAAGACTTTTTGTCCCTACAAAATGCCCACTGGTTGGGGACATTCACCTTTGATCTCGCGAGTCCTCTTCTTCTCGCTCAGCAAATTATCGTTGCAAATTGAATGCTGTGAAGCATTGAGGACCTGGGTGGTAGCTTCACCGTCCCTTCAATCTCCTCCGTGCTGATGAGGTAGCTCTGAGCTGGGCCCGTCGGCACGGTGCCACGGATGTGGTGAAGAGAGTGGCTGAGTCACAGTCAGGAAGTGAGTTTCCTCCCTCTGGGTTTCAGCTTTTCAATTCACCGAGAGGGAGGCTCTGTGTCAGAGCACTCATCCTCTTTTACGGGGGCTGCTGTGGATCTCTCGATGATGTCTCTGAGGCTATGGTTTGAGCTGTATTCCTGCCTCTGTATTTTTACTGGGAAAATCCATTCCTCTCCAGCTACGAGACGGATTGCAGTTAAACCCCCAGAGGGACAAGGAAACTGTTGTGCGTGTTTGTGTGACAGATGGGGGGGTCATAGATCCCCACTGTTGAGAAAGTCCAGGGATTTTGACCCTCCAAGCCCGAGATCCACTACACCACTGTGTAGATCCTACTGAAAACGGGCAGTTTCTCCCCTACACCTATTGCAGAGCTGGCACTGAAACCTTGGCAGACTGGGCTCAGTATCGGCTGGGGAGGATGGGCACTATAGTCCAGGCTGGAGAAAGGTTTTCTAGGCGTGTATTCCCTTTCTGCCCCCAGTGTGCCAAACAAGAAGAGGGAAAAGAGGATGGTTCCAACTTCGCAGTCTTCAGCATATGGTCTTTATCTCTTGTGTGTGTGTGTGTGTTTCTGTTTTACTTGGCCAAGAACACGAGGTATGAGCAGATCTATCTGGTTCCTGCAGACCCACCCGAAGCTTGCGGGGCTTTGAACAACGGCGTCTTCATTGATGGCCAGATTGCCTTAGTGGAGCGCGGGTAAGTTTCTTAGCATCCCACTTCCCTTCTTGGACGATGAATTGAGATTCATAGGTTACAAAAAAATGGAACGACTGCTGTGTGTCTAGAAGATCTGCGGCTGCAAGTTGTAAAAAAAACAATCACCAGTAACTTTGATTCAAAGATCTGCCTCCTTTGCAGCTGGGAAATCTAGCTATTGTCAGTAGGGGCTTTACGCAAGAAAGGTAGACTACGTAAGGGTCATACCCCTTGACCTGTGACCCTCTACAAACATTTCTGAAGGTAAACTTGGCTCTGGAGCAGAAAAGGGTTCCTCATCGGGTGTTTAGATCGAAGTGGTGATAAGGGGTCCAGAACGCTCCTGGGGAGAGTGACAGAGCACCACCTCCCCTGTTCAAAGCAGCATTTGAAGAGCTGGTTTTTAAACTACAGTTCCCACAACACCTAGGTCCACATCGGTGCTGGGAGTCGTAGCAGTCTGCATCTCCCAGTCCCAGATTCCGGGAGTTGTAGTTTTAAAATAGTAACATTTCCAAGCTCAGGTTCAGTGATCAGCCGTGGCTGAAACAAACAGGCCTGACCCCACTCTGCTTGGCCCGTCTGCCCGGTTCAAGGATCGGTAAGCCTTCCGTCCGCACTCTGAATGGGCGCAGACTGTCCCACTGACATGAGCCTTGGTGTTCTACCTGTTTCCAACAGGGGCTGCTCGTTTTTGTCCAAAACCCGTATCATCCAGGAGCACGGGGGCCGCGCCGTGATTATCGCTGACAACGCGTACGACAACGACAGCTCCTACGTCGAGATGATCCAGGATAGCACTCGGCGGACGGCGGACATCCCTGCCCTCTTCCTTCTCGGGAGAGACGGGTAACGGGTCCAGAGCACAGGCTGAGATGGAGGCCGTCTGCAGTGTGAAGGTTGCGGGGAGGGGGGGGAATACAGGCCCACCTTCTAGGGGTGTTGTTAAGTTTGTTGGGAGAACATTTGTGAATGCTTAAACTTGCACTAGACACTTATAAGTTGTAGTCTTGTAAAATAACGACCTGCCTCTGGGGCCTGAGTGGAATTCTTCATGTAAAACAGATTTCGTGTCTGCAATATCACTGTTGGCAAGAACTCTTGCCGGTTGGCAGGAGATTATTTTGTAATCCTCAGACATAATAATAAAGAGACTCTCCCACATGGGTGAGATTTCAGTGAGAGGTTTGCTTGACCTTAAGCGTTAAAGAGATTAAACCAAATAGCCTTTTGTACATTTTGAACAGAAAGGGACAAAGTGTGGCTTTCCAGGGTGGTTGACCGGCTGCCGCCCTCCGCCTTCGCCACCTAACCAGGAGGCGAGAGATCCTGTGAGTTCTAGTCTAGCAGCATTTGAAGAGGGTGCGTGTGTCCTTTGCCCACCTGCGATTTAAAATGTTTTGATAGACTCTGAAGATTCTGGGTTTTAATATTTTTATAGCAGAATTCATGCACATCTACCGCTGTCTAGAATGGCACCTGATTAAGCATGATGTCTTATAGAAGGTCCGTTCTGGTTGGTATAGTTAAATATACAGTAGTTTGGCCTTTTTGTTGTTCGTATATCTTTTTACTCGGGGGAGGGGGGGAAATCTATATATTTAAAATCATCTCCTGATTTCCATCTTGCAACCCTCTTTCTAGGTACATGATCCGGCGATCCTTGGAGCAGCATGGGCTTCCCTGGGCTGTAATCTCCATACCCGTTAATGTCACCAGTATTCCAACTTACGAACTTATGCAGCCTCCGTGGACCTTTTGGTAGCCAAGAATCCGAGCGATGATGGAGGCGGATGAGGAAGAGGAGGAACGGCGTAGAATAACATTAGCACCTCAGTGGCCTTCCGGGGCTCACAAAACGAGCTGTTCTCGGTGCAGACTAGTCTTCAGAGGCTGTAGGTCTGGAGGGCTGTCTTCCATAAATTAAAGAAGCCGCCTGCCATCAGGCAGCTCCGTGAACTGTGTCGTCTACCCAGGTCAGAACCGATCTGTCTCCCCAGGATGCCACGGAGAAGCCGTTTCCAAACTGGCTGCTTGAAATGGACAAAAGCCGTGGTCAGACTAAAGGTTTCCAGCCCACAAAGCGCATCGCCCACCGTCCGGCTTGGAGGGGGAGCAGGTTGAAGCTTCTGGGTTTATGCTAGCATTTCTTCAGAAACTTAGAAATAAGAGGTGGGGGGCGTTCAGTGTTTGAGAAGGGAATCTGGTCCCTTCTGGAAGCTCTCCTTCCACAAAAGCCACCTTCTCACTCATCCGCCATGGTTCCGTTTCTCTTCTTGTCCCTTTGAACCACAAATTATAAAGAACAAGACGGGGGGGGTGTCAGTGTGACTCCCTGCTACCTGTGTAGTTGCTGCAATCATCCAACCACCACCAGCAACAGAAACTCACCCGGTAAGATCCTGAAATGCCACTGAAGATGCCCAGGTTTTTTTCAAATGTTTTTTTTTCTCCATCCATAAGCGATGAGGACTAGAAGCTTGCTGTTGACAGAGGACACTCAGGAATCCCCATCGCGATGCAAATCCTAGCTTTTGTGAGTTTCATGAATCGGCACTCTCAAGTCCGTGGAAGCCTGCGTTTTCCAGAGCTGAGCAGGGGACCTTCCCAGCGATAGTTTTATTAAACCAGTTTTTGTTTTTTAAAAAACATTGCTTTGAAATCCATGAACAAACAAGACACAGACAAGAAAATAAGACCTGGTGTGTTGTGTTTCATATGGGTCACAGGGAAGTTCTCCTGAACAAACCTTTCGGGATAAACTGGAAACTGCGCAAGAGCATGAAAATTTCTTACGGGTTGTGTTCAGGACATTCATTCGGCTTCATTTCTATCGTGATAACACCCAATGGGAAACTCTTCTGTTAATATTAAGGTGGAATTTAACAATGTAGTTTTAAAAATTCCTCGTCTTTCTTTGTTTCCTGTGGTGTGTGCTCCACTGCTCAGACAGGTGCCTCCCAAAGGTTAAAAAAGATTACCTCCACCCATTAACAGCCATACTGGTGGAGGATAATGGAAGCTGTAGTCCAACGCCGCTGGTTGGGAAACATAGTTCTACACCTTACAGCATTAGAAAACTCAGATGCTGTGGGAAGGATGGTAAGAAAGTGGTCGGACTACAATTCCCAGAACTCCTTACTATTGGCTATACTGCCTTTGTTTGGTGGGACATCTAGTCCAACAACTGCTGGAGGATTGCATGACAGCATCTGTCCAAAACTGGGCAGGCCATCATCACTCTAGACTCTGTCTCAGAAGATTTTTGCATACGGTTAAAATTAAGTAATCTCTCTCTCCCTGTATCTTTTTTTGCATTTCAGTTCTAGAGAGGTGAACACTGTCGTGCTTACTTTCATGTATCTCTTCCTTCTGAGGTCTTTGCAAAATGCTCCCTCATTAAATGTGAGCCTTCCAAAAAAAAAAACCTAACATGGACTCCTCGCACGTGCGATTCCTCGCAGAGGAAGTCCAGTCTGTCAACAGATCTTCCTCATCTTCCCTGCCAGCCTAGGGTCACGGACATCTTTCCCGGGAAAAGCGTAAGGAATGGAAGTGAGAAAAGCAGAGCTGGGTTTTTGTGTCAACCCGGAGGCCCGAAAGGGAATGTGTAGAACTGGAAGGGTCTCCAGGGGCTATCAATCAACTCTGTCCCTCCACCAGCGCTGGCAACCCGCAGCTGAAGCGCCCCGGACAAGTGGTAATCCGGCTTCCGTTTAATCATCTTCATCATGATGTGCCATCAAGTCCGTTCTGACTCATGGTGACCCTTTTCAGGGTTTTCCAGGTAGAGAAGGCTCAGAGGTGGTTTCCCTGTTCCCTTCCTCTGGGGTATCTCTGGGACCATGTGGCTTGCCCAAGGCTACACAGGCTGGCTCTTCTCTTAACGACAGTCGGAACTGAGCTCCTAACGGCCGGCTCTACAGCGAGAGACCTAAACCACTGACCTCTCCGGCCACTAGCCACTGTTTAAAAACCTCCAATAAAAGAGGATCACCAACCTGCTAAGGTGGTCCATTCCACTGTGGAGCAGGGCTTAGTATCATCTTCCTAATGTTTTGGTGGAATCTCCTTTCTTGTAATTTGAACCCATGACTTCAGGCCTGACCCCCCTGGAGCTACAGAAAAGAAGCATGCTCCTCTTCCGTACCTATAGCCTTTCCAGTATTAGAAGACGTCTACCATGTTGCCTCTCCGTCTTTGCTTCTCCAGGCTAGAGGCGTGCTCAGCTTCCTTGTGGCTTGGTTTCCACACCCTTCGCCATCTTGGTCATCTTTCTTTAGACACCTTCCGACTTCTTGACCTTCTTCCTAGACGGTAGCATCCGACGGGACAAAATATTCCGGAGCCTGTCTGAAAGCGCCAGGAGCTTTCTAGGAAACATGAACCCAACTCAGAGCTGGAAAGTGTCATGGCCACAGAGATCTCGCATTCAACCAGCCGGACGTCTGCATCGTCTGCTGGGAGCAAAGAGGGGAAAACGTGTCGCTGTAATTTTTAGCCTGAGAGTAAAGTTCACCTCTGGTTTTCAGTTCAGGCATCGAAGGCACAGGAAAAGCTCAGAAATCGGCAGCAGTGTGGAGATGGCTAGTTGTGCGTTTATGTCCCATTCCTGTCAATGGGACGAGTGTGGTTAATGTCCTGTGAATTGGGGCGAATAATAGAGTCGAAATAAAGTCAGTGAATTTTGAAAGGGAACCCTGCCTTAATCTGGTTATGATGTCCTTGACCAAGAAGAACTGCTGGATAGTTCCATGGTCTGTAATCTGGTTATGATGTCCTTGACCAAGAACTGCTGGATAGTTTCATGGTCTGGGTCTCTGGCTGCAGAGCCAGAAGTTGGGAGTTCGATTCCCCCACGGGGGCCTCCTTTCCTTGACTTGATCTTCCAGAGGGTCTTCCTTCCAGTCCTGTAGTTCTAAGATTCTAAGAATATCACACCAACTATAAATATCTCTGCATCCTCAAAACAAAGCAAATGGGGGGCTCTGCTTTAATTCTTTGTCCAAGCTGGGCCCTTTGAAATGGAGAGCAGCAAACTGGGCCGCCACGTCACCTGAGGGTCTCAAACACCCCGTTCCCCTCCCACCTATTTCTCCACCATCTCCCCGTTCATCAACCAACACGGTGTGCTCCTCTCTCTCTCTCTCTCTCTCTCTCCCCACACCCATCTCCATTCACATTTTGGATTTCTCTAATTGACACCCACCTATTTTCTCGGTGAGAAGGTAACAGTGCTCCGTGTCTAGTTGTGCTGGCCACGTGACCACGGAAACTGTCTTCGGACAAAACGCTGGCTCTAAGGCTTGGAAATGGGGATGAGCATCGCCCCTCAAGTCGGACACGACTGGACTCAATGTCAAGGGGAACATTTTAAAAAAATTGGGGGGGGGGACATTTTGTAAAAACAAAAAAGGAAAAGACGTGGTCCCACAAGGTGACGGTTCTTCCCACGTGCTTTTAAATAGGAAACAAATATGTCCACGGTCTGTGCTCCTGAAGGAGGAAGACGCCAGGCATGATTAACTTTATGGGTGCAAAGGGCTTCAAAACAGGGAAACGGGTGCTCGTGGGGGAGGCTGTTCCAGGCTGTGGTTAAAGATTGCTAAATATAATGGCCACAAATGTTCTGTACTTCTTCTAAACTTCCTTCAGCTTTTCTAGACCATGAACCAAACTGTTCTGTGTTGAGCGCCTTGCATTCCAGCATTTTCTGTATCACTGTTGCATGTTCTGGCAGACCTGGTTCGTAGCAACTTTTAAGGGTGAAGTGGTAGAGCGATGGGACTTGTTAGGGTTGTTGATGCTTATACAAACCCCATTGATTCAGTGGGTCTGTGCTGCTTGAAACTGGCAACCGGATTTTGCCCCGAACGATCGAAAGCACAAGTATGGAGGCCTTTCACAGCTCTGGCACATTCACCCTGTCTTAATGCTTCTGGTTGGGCAGGACTGGAGCAGTGGTTCCCAACCTTGGGTCACCCAGATGTTCATGGACTACAGCTCCCAGAAGCCTTCACCACTGGTGGTGCTAGCTGGGTTTTCTGGGAGTTCCAGTCCAAGAGCATCTGAGCGACCCAAGGTTAAGAACTACTGGCCTAGAGGATGCATCCCAAACCGCCTTTAATGGGTCCCTTGAATGCCCTAATGTTCCTTTTTATCTCTCAGCAAAGTGGCCAACCTTTTGTTACTTCTGTCCTCCGTTTGCTTTTAGAAGAGGTTGCCCTGTTAGTCCATGCAAACCTGTCAGTCAAAACACAAAGGAAAAAAAGTAATAATAGAAAATTAAAGACAAAAAACTTGTGTCACCTTTAGGGCTGTTATATTTTAATGTGAGTTTTTTGTGGTCATGTCCACATCTTCAGTAGTGCCAATGTTTTCCTGTGCAATCTCTTAATTATTTCATCTCATTTGTCTGAAAAAGTAGACTTGTCCACGAAAACACACAATGAAATGTAACACAACCTTTTTGCCTTCTCAATTTTAATTTTGCCGCCCAGAGTAGACCTTCGGTCTAGAAGATGGGCAGGGTAGAAACCTAATGAAATAAATATTTTTTCCCTTTGGGTTTTGCCTGGTATGCTTGCTGTCTTCCTTGTGCATCACCTTTATGACAAAGAGATTTATTTTTCACTTCTTGCTTTGTCTTAATTCACTGCAAAACGGAGGCTCTTGGTTTGCTTTTGAAGATAACTTCTGCTAAGCGGCAGTTACCTGGATGTCGACCCCACTGCAAGGGTCTCGGCGACAGGGAAGGTGGCCACTCGCTAACACAGTGCTACTTGATGGGCTGAGGCCACCCCAACTGTTTCTGCTGTCTGAGACACCTCCCTGTTCTTCTGGCCCCAGCTCCACCTACAGAAAACAGCCGAGAACAGAAAACTTGCTGAGGACGTGCGGTCCTCTTGCGTTCCACTGGCCCTCGACATCTGCTACCCGATAGCTGCCTTGCTTTGCCTCCCGTTAGGGCCGGCCCCGTACAGAACCACTGTTTTAATTCCACTTCCAACTAGCAGCGGGAAAATAGTGCCTCCAGCAAACGGGAATGTAGACGCAACCCACCATCAGAGGGGAAAACAGTTGCCAGTGGAAAACCATGGTCTCTGTGCGTTTTCCTCTGGATAGGGTGAAATCCAAGAGACCTGTGGTACTTTGTAATAAGATGTATTATGACTGGATAGGGTGAAATCCAAGAGACCTGTGGCACTTTGTAATAAGATGTAGCAGGTACCTTGTCTGTACCAAATGCATGAAGCAGAACAACTAAGAGGAAAAAGAAGAAAGAAATTATACACCTCCTAAATCACCCTGGGTTGCAGGTTGGAAAATTTGCTTTTTAAGGGTAATTTCCAGAATCTCCGGCTGAGTGTTTAGAGGTCTTCCGACTTTTCCAGGCTCCGTGCCTAATGCATAAAATCAGGCAGACTCAAATCGGCAAAAACACCTCCGAAAACACCATGAAAAGTGATAGCCTAGAAGCCCAAAAAGGCTCCTTGTTACACCGACCTCTTTAGATTAGTCCAGCCACCTTCCAGCCCACACACAGAAAGAGAATGCAAGGCTGGAAGGTACTTCTTCAAGGCTTGAAAGGTTGTCAAACAGAGGAGGGGCAGAATCTGTTCTCAATCATCCCCAAGTGCAGGACACATCATCAGGGGTTCAAGCTACAGGAAGCCAGATTTAGGCTGAGTATCAGGGGGAAAAACCTCTCAACTGTCAGAGCAGTACGGCGATGGAAACCATGACCTCCAGAGCAGTACGACAACGGAACCCATAACCTCCACGGGGAGGTGGTGAGCCTGCCAACGCTTGAGGTCTTCAAGAGAAATGGGAGGTGGTGAGCATGCCAACGCTGGAGGTCTTCAAGAGAAACCGGGACAGCTATCTATCCGGTCTGCTTTGATTTGAATTCCATGCCCCGAACATGCCGAATCGATGGCCTTTTCCCGTTATTCGAAGGAAGCCATGTCTGAAGGAACTGGGGTTCTTCCCTTCCCACAAACCGGGAAACGGCAGGATTCCCGTTCCTGGACTGATCAAGCCAGAGCTTGTGATCCGCTTGCCTGTGCTCCTTACCACCTTTGGCCCGCTCTCCCTGCCCGCCCGCCCCACCCAGCCATCATCTCTCGACTTCCCCAGCTCCTCTGTTACTGACGGCAAGCAAGGGTCTTTCCACCCGGTGACAAACACACAGAAACAGCGAGAAAGAACCCATCACCCGTTTGCATTACAAATCTTTTACTGTACTGCGTGCATAAGGAAACATTGGCCAAGGCGCATCCTTTCCCCATCGGAGTGTGTTGCATCTGGGGAAGGAATCCCAGGGGGCAAACCCAAAGCCCTCCGTCTTCCTTGGGCGCCGCTCGTGTGAAGAGCGCAGATCTCAAGGACGGGGGGAAGACTCCGGAGGGCACGCTCGTCTCGAAGGGCCCCCAGCCTCCGGTTCTTCCAGCGGTCCCTCTTGCGAGGTGTCAGCCCTTCCTTTCTCCTGCCAACACAAGCCGCGGGCACTCCGAGGACCCATCTGATCAACCAGCCCGGCCCTCGGAGGAGGCCACGCCAGGGAAGGCCACACGCCTGCCCTCGGGACCCCGGAGTCAAACGTCCGTCATCTCGTCCTCCAGTTCTGCATCCTCTGGTTCTCCTTCGGCCTCTTCCTCTTCCTCCTCCTCTTCCGACGTCACGTCCGGATCGTTGGCTTGAGCCAGGCACTTAGGACAGGAGCAGACAAACAGGTAGTTCTCCCTGCAGGTAAAGGGGAGAAAAGTGGCAGCCACCGTGTGGGAAACCAGGAGACACAGCCATGGCGGCAGGCTTGCATCGCTGTCAAGCGCGGTCAAGTTCCTTGTGTGACTTTCAGCGGCCTCAGTAGGAAAATCAACGTATGTGAGATGTTCAAGGCAGGGTCCTCGAAACCCCAATTCCTCCTGCCCTTTGGCTCAGCCCCTGGAGCTTTTCCTCCCCACCCCGAAACTACAGCTGGGTCAGCAAGAATTGCACTGATCAATATTCTTTCCCCGATTATCTTCCGTCTGTCCTTTTTTTCCCCCCACTTTGCTCTGTGACAAAACCTCCTGGCGCAGTAACCAACTGCAGTATTGTGGCGAAGACTCAGCTCACGACCCGAGTTCCGTTCCAACTCAACTCTCCATCTTCCCAAGATTGGGAAATTGAGTTCCCATCTCACCGGGGGGCAGATGGACAACCTGCATAATTATGTCACAAAACTGCCCAGAGAAAGGCTTTAAATACTACGGGGCATTATATAAGCAGCACATTTTGCTTTGCTGTTTCCTTCTCACAGGTCACGCCTTCAGCACATGAAAATTAAGACACTCCCAGGGCACAGACCTGGCCTTTTATTTATTTATTACCCCAATAAAAACACTGAGATCAGATGCAGGGCAGTGATCATAACAGACTGAGGTATGAATTAGGAAAGTGAACCGTCTCCTCTCAGCCTCGATACAGGGACAACAAAGCCCGCCAACCTTAAAGAGTTCCAATAAAGTTTGCAAGCTTGCAACAAATGCAAGGTGACCATGCATGCAAAAGCCCTAACAAGATGCAAGTGATGGCCATCATTCTATTAGCTATGCCAGCCAGCATCATCCTTGGCAGGAGATTGCTGCAACTTCAGCATAGGAGCCTGCTGTCATCATCCAAACTCTGACAGTGCCCATTGAGCCTGCAGCCATTTTCCAACTGAGTTACTCCGGTGTCCAAATGCAACAGGATTTGGGCCATTACTACCACATATAAAAATGGTGTGTGTGTGTGTATGGAGGTACATATATAAACATACAGACTGTACATAGTGGTGTGTGTGTATATAAGCGTGTACTGTATATAGTAGAGGGCAAAAGAGTAACTATTCCTGGATTCCTGTTTCCAGAAGAGCCCAGCGATGGGCAAGCTGGATGGGGAATTTCAGGAGCCAGGAACTGCCCAAGAGAGCATGGAGGTGCATGCACGGGCGCATAGGCTCGCGCCCCAGAATTCAAAACCGGACCGATCTGCTTACCGGAGGACCTTGTGTCGGCTGTGACGACTCCTCTCCCGTTGGCAACAGTCTAAGTAGCTGATGCAGATCTCCTGTTCAGACACAAGCAATGACACAGGATGGCATCGCCAGCACGCTTCAAGCCGACCCACGGGAAGGCTTAACAAGGCAGCGAGCAAGAGGCGGCATGCAAAAGTTCTCCTGTGCAACCTACGTGTCTGGGCTCTACTGGGATCTGAAAACATTCCTCTACGGCAATGATTCCCAGAACATTTCAAGAAGGTTGGGGTTTCTGTTTTGTTTTAGGGTTGTTGTTGTTTTAAGAGGATCCTTTACAGAGCCCAATGGGCACAAAGACGACCAGTCCCATAATCCTTTCTGGCACCTCTGAAATTTAGCCACTTCCTTCTTGAGAGCCAAAGGTTGGCTCTGGAACAGTGGCTCCCCAGCCTTAGCTAATCCAGATGTTCTCGGACTGCAATTCCTAGAAGCCTTCAGCACCCGCTGTGCTGGCCAGGATTTCTGGGAGTTGGAGTCTAAGAACATCTGGGTTACTCATGGTTGGAACGACATGAGTGTGTGATTTAAAAAAAAAAAAAAACACTTCTGTGGGCTTAGAATTTTTTGGCTATTTTTTGGGAAATCCCGAAAATCAGGAGCATTCCCAGAACATTTCAAGAAGGTTGGGGTTTCTGTTTTGTTTTAGGGTTGTTGTTGTTTTAAGAGGACCCTTTACAGTGCAAGGAGTATCAAAATCCCCATGTTTCTGAACCCACCGCTTCGGCTCTTCCCCCGAGGAACAGCACAAAACCAGCATCTTATTGCATCTTCCATGCAACAGCCCTTCACATACTTGAGGACGTGATTTAAAAAAAAAAAAAAAACACTTCTGTGGGCTTAGAATTTTTTGGCTATTTTTTGGGAAATCCCGAAAATCAGGAGCGGGGGGACGCAGTGCAAGGAGTATCGAAATCCCCATGATTCTGAACCCACTGCTTCGGCAGAAAACCAGCATCATATTGCATCTTCCGTGCAACAGCCCTTCACATACTTGAGGATGGCTATCATCCCATTTTTCTTCTCCAGGGTAAAAACATTCCCAGCGGCCTCGACCCTTCTTCACAGGGCATGGCTCCCAGTAAAGGTGGGCAGAGTTGGCGTTTCTAAATCACATTTCCCAGAATCCTCTGAGAAGCTAGAGTGCCTAAGACTTTCTGGGCGGTTTAGTCCAATGAATTAATTAAAATTAAAAAGAAATTAAAAAAGAAATCAGCCACCAACAAACCGTGTAAGGGAGCCCCACGTCTCAGCTTTCTTCCTCCAGATCAGCTCTACCGTGCGATTTCACCCCCCACCACTATAAATGCAAGTGACATCATGCAGAAGAGGTGCCCAAACGGTGAGCAGAGCTACCCCTTTTTTTAATGGGAGCACTTTGTAATTTGTCTTAATGTTTGGCAAAGCCTGGCACTCCTCGCAAGCCGCCCCGCCCCCTTAAAGGTTGTGTGTTTGTGTTTGTGTGTGTCTCCGGCCCCCACCTCTCCCGGCCTGATGTCTCCCAAGGCTGTCAAGTGGAGGAGGAAGTTGTTCTCTGGGAATGACGTCTCGGCGTTGGGAATGCAGCTGTGGTTACCTGCCACGAGAAAGGAGAGGCGTTGCACACCTGAGGAAAATCACAAGCACAGTCCCAGAGGATGAGTCCCCCGGCTGGGAGCAAAAGGGGTCCCTTGTGGAGTGGGTGATTCCTTCACCCTTACTTACAGCAGCTCTGCAGCAGGTAGAGGCCGGATCCCTCGCAATTCAGGAACTCCCCTGTCTCTAAACCAAAAATAATAAGAGAAAGAGAGAAAAAAAAGGGTGGGGGAAAACACTGGTGTCTTAAATCACAAGAAAACTCTAAAAGCAAGACTTGGTATGAGGGTCAGAGAAAAATAGGGTTTCTTCCCCCCCCTTCTCCTAAATGGTAGATACAGTGGTGCCCTGCATTACGACGACCCCGCATGATGATGAAATTGCTTGACAATGACTTTTTGTGATCGCTACAATTATCGCAAAATGATGGTTCCTATGGGGCTTTTTCGCTTAACGATGATTAGGTCCCTGCTTCGGGAACCGTTTTTTTGCTGGGCGGCTTCGGGAACCGTTTTTTCGCTGGGCGACGATTTTCCCAAAATGGCTTCCCGCTGTTTTCCGACCCTTGTTTTGGAAGACAGGCATTAAAAACAGCTGATCGGCGCTCACAAAATGGCCGCCCTATGGAGGATCTTCGCTGGACGAGCAGGTATTTTCCCCACTGGAATGCATTAACCGGTTTTCAATGCATTCCAATGGGAATATTTTTTCGCATGACGACGATTTCGCTGTACAGCGATTTTGAAACAGCTGATTATCGTCGTCATGCGGGGCACCACTGTACATCAACTTCTCAAACTGATGTCAACGTCTGGCTTTACAACAAACACAAAAACACTTCCTATTTTTACACAACCATTTTCTGCTAAGGCAAGGCAGGGAGGTGTGTGTGCCTCATTTTAGAAGCGAACGGTGCCTTCCAAGGTGGGACTGGGTGGGATTTCTGTTTTCCTTCTGGAGAAACCTTTTTTCACTCCAACAGCACAAAATAAGTGCCTTCCAGGACAGTATACAGCCTGCATGTTTTCTCTTTCTGTGCTGCAGCACAGCGGGGGGGGGGGAGGGAGGACCCCTTATCCCCTTGCTAGCTGGTAAAGATTCCCTGGAGTTGAACACCAAAACTATGGGGAGCCAAAGGTACCCTATCACAATTGCCAGAGATTCAGGCCGGGGGGGAGGAGGAAGGATTCACACAATGCATTTGAACATAGTATGGGACTCCTTGCCACAAGAGAAAGAGCAATCAGCAAAAACAGGTTTGGAAGGGATTCGGCAGTTTACACAGGGAGAGGAGAGGAAAAGTTTTCAGCATCTCATAACAGCCACTGAAATGAGTGCTACCTCCTTATGCTGGAGCACCAGTTTTCTTTTAATGCCAGATTCCAGAAAGGGGAAGAAGGGCTTTCAAGTCTTGCCTCTGATGGTGCATCAAAGCAGCTTGCTGGACATGGTCAACTAGGCGGTCCCGCTGGATGACCCGGGATGGGTCCTCTCAAACTCCAGAAGCAGACCAAGGATTTCTTGGATGGCTTTGTCCACTTAAACTCAGCCCCCCTTCTAAACTCCTAAGATACCCAGAAACACAACTTGAAAAAGTTCCCCCCTCTTTCTTTTTTTTAATGGCCATGGTGGCTAGAGGATTCTCAGCCATTGCAATGCAATGCAAAAAAAAAAAAGGAACTTCTCAAGATCTATTGATGAAGGATTCTACTACAAAGGGAGAGCTGGCACCCTTGAAAAATTCCCCTCGGCTGGCTCACCCACCTTTCTCAATGTCCTTATAGAGCTGGTCTATGAAGGCGTCTAACTGCTCTCGTTCCTGGGGGGGAAGCTCTAAGGCATCGCAGGCGTGGACCCACTGGCTTAAAGAGCTGGGGAGAGCAAAACCTTTTAACACTGTTCCCTGACCTAAGGGGAAAAAAAGAAAAAAAATCCCCCTCTAGTGGTACAAGGCGGAATAGCAGCTTCCCATTAGTTTCTATGGACGGAAAAGAGCAGATACGGATTAAATGGTTTTCAATGCATTCCTATGGGAAATGCAGATTCTACATAAGAACGTTTCAACTTGAGAACCACCTTCCAATACGGATTAAGTTCTTAAGTAGAGACCCCACTGTACCCAGAAACACAACTTGAAAAAGTCCCCCCCCCTTTCTTTTTTTAATGGCCATGGTGGCTAGAGGACATTCCCAGCCGTTGCAATGCAATCCAAAAAAAAAAAGAAGAAGAACTTCTCAAGATCTGTTGATGAAGGATTCTACTACCAAGGGAGAGCTGGCACCCTTGAAAAATTCCACTCAGCTGGCTCACCCACCTTTCTCAATGTCCTTATAGAGCTGGTCTATGAAGGCATCTAACTGCTCTCGTTCCCGGGGGGGAAGCTCTAAGGCATCGCAGGCGTGGACCCACTGGCTTAAAGAGCTGGGGAGAGCAAAACAGGAGGGAACGGGAGGTCAAAGAGAACAAAAACCCGACAGATCACCTCTCCAGCAACTCACGGCATCTACCTGGCACGACAACAAGACTGGTATTTAAGCCCGTGCATAGTCGCCACGGGTGAACAGAGCATGCATGCAGGCGAGCAAGCAGAGAAGAGGCGGCACGCGATTCCTAAGAGAGACAAAAACCAAGAGCTGCCCACAACTTACCTAGTTCCTATCCCTTGGCCGTTGGTGCCAACCAGCGCAAAGAGGGAGCGGAAGCCTTCGGGGGAAAACCACTGTGGGGAAAAAGAGTTCACAACTGTGAAGAAGCCGTGAATCGGCCATGCGCCCAGAACATGACAAGGGTGATTCTGGGCGGCTCGGTCTGAAAGGCTGGATTCTTCCCTGGATTCTGCCCAGCTTTGCCATCGGAGCGAAAAGGCCGTCTTCTTGGGTCAACAACTTTCAGAAGCGTGATGGAGGCGGGGACAAAAGACGGGGCCTTTTCGGTGACAGCTCCCGGGGGTCGGAATTCCTTTCCAAGCGAGGCTGGTCTCACCCGCTCCCTGCCGTTTTTCTTCAGGCAGGCAAAGATTCCTTTTTTAATCTACGCAGAGGTTTGGCGACGGGCCAGCTACCGAGGAAGGGGCTTTTTAAAAGTAGGTGTGGTATTTCTGAGGATTATTTGAACGAGGGTGCCTTTAAAAGCGTTTGCAACGGCAGGGTGTTTTAACTTCCCAAACGGGTTCCTCGTCTTTTAATGTGATAACTTAAAGATTTTTATTTCTGCTCTAAACCTGGCTTTCAAATCCTTTTTGGGAAAAACAAATATTGCTGATATGGAATCTTCCCTTTTCCTTCGGCGGGTTCAAGTCCGTCTCTTTCCCGCCCACGTTCCCTTAAAACCCACCACATGGGAAAGAAATGAACTGGCTCAAGATGAGCCGCTGAATTGCAGAGCACAAGGGGAAACTGGAACCGGGAATCTCTCAAGTTTCGGGGACAGAACGACAACCCCATCTGGGAGGCAGAACCGAAGCAGCCAAAATGCCGTCTCTTCCTGTCCCCGGAAAAGGAGGCCGGCTTTCCCCTTCAGATCAGAGGCAGGCGGCCAGAATCGATGGACTTACCCAGGCGAGATGGTCGTCGTAAAGGGCTTCCGTGAAGAGCGCGCGCAGGGCTTCTAGCTGGCCCTGGAGAAGACCCACGGTAAGCCCCCAAAAAGAGAAGAAAGAGAAAAGTTTGTTGAGCGATCGTTCGTTTCAAGTCCCTGCTCAGGTTTCAGGCAGAGGGAAAGAGCGCCCAAGAGGAGCCAACGGTTCAGCTCCAGCGGCTTCTCCTTTACCAACAGTGAAGACGCCACAAGAGACGTCAACAAGAGTATTGGGGGGGGAAAAAACTCAATGATTTCACAAACTGATCAGAAAACTCAAAACTTTCCAAGGAATGGTAGACACACAAGAGTCCAGAAAAGAGAGGGGAGGGGAGGTCTTTTTGAGCAGTTCAACGTTCTGTTCTCATCCCAGCAGCCACCCGTCCGATGACCTGGTGGACGTCTGCTGGCAGGACCCCCCACGAGGGCCATGGACCCCTCCCGTTTGGGCTCCCCGGGGAGGGACACACTGAAGACAGACAGGAGCATCCCCTGTGAATTTTTCCAGCCTCTTTTTAAAGCTGGGCAAGTTGAAAGTCATTGCTACGTCTCCTGCGGCCATTCATTCGAAATGCACTGTTCTTAGCTTTAAAGGTTGCCTTTTAATGGTGTAGGCTTCCTTGGTTCTTTTTTAAGGAAAAAGGTGGGGTGTGAATGAATGAATGAATGAATGAATGAATGAAGGAAGGAAGGAAGGAAGGAAGGAAGGAAGGA